TCAGCGGCTTGATTCGAGCAGCCTTCGTTTGCGCGTTCTTCCTGCAAGTATGTACCTACGGCTCAAGCTCTGAAGGCTCAAGCACTGATCAGGACTCAGCACTTCGCCGGCGCAGCTATGTCGACAGTCTTCGAAGTCCCTGCCATGGCCGAGGCGTTGCAACAGGTGCTGGCGCAGGCCACATCGGAAGCATGTGTCTTCGTTTTCAGCGGCGAGGGCGCCCATGGTGCAGACACGGACATCTCCATGCTGAAGCTCAGCCCATCGTGGCCTGCCGTACAGCAGGCTCTGCGTGATGTCGGGCAGGACGATCCCGAGGCTTTCTTACAGGAGAACCTCGGCGAACATACCGCTCCGAACTCGCCACTGGTCACGGTTTCGCTGAACATTCTGCATGCGGATCTTTGGCGGCACTGGGGCCAAGAGCCATCCCTGGTACTTGGTCATTCTGTGGGCGAAATTGCTGCTGCCTACACGGCTGGAATCCTGACTGTTTCGGAGACCATCAGCATTGCACACGGTCTTGGTGTCGCCATGCAGAGCTGCACTGGTGAGATGGTCCATACTGAGCTGCGCCGAGGATCCCTCAAGGAGTTTCCCAAGTTGGGCCTCCATCTTGCTGCCGTAAACTATGTCGTCGCAAAGGGTGACACCGAGGAACGCGACCTTCTCAGTGTCACGTTGTGCGGCACCTCCGCAAAGGACTATTTGTCTTCGGATCCTTCGTCCATACAGCTGCGGCCCTGCCATCCTTGGCATCATCCGGAGGCACCGGTGCCTGCGACACTTCCAACTGGCGCTGCTGCCCGGATCCCCTTCATCTCCTCGGTTTCCGCAACGCAGCTAACCGAGCTGCCGAAGGACCACTGGCAACGGTGGCAACGGAGCCCCGTGAGGTTTGCAGACGCTCTCTGCCTTGCGCGCGACCTTACGAAATCCAAAGGATCCGGGGGGGTTCGAGTGCTGGAGATGGGTGCACATCCAGTCCTTGCGGCCGCCATCAAGGCCACGTTCTCAGAGCTCCGCTATGCTTGCTCCATGCGTCGTGGAGAGCGGGCGGCTTCGTTCCTTCGGCAGCAGCGTGCTGGTCTGGGGGGCTTCCGCAGGCAGCTCCAGCAGGTGCTCCAGGGTTTCATCTTTGGAGGTCGGCAGCTGTGCCACACCACAAGCTTCGCAGCCCAGGGCATTGCCTCGCAGCAGCTGGTGATGCTTGCAGAGGCCTTGCGGCCCTTCTTCCCGGGCCTCGCAGCTCACGACCTCTACCGCTTCAGCAACATAGATGGTCTCTTGGACTGGGGTGCGGATGAGATGTCGGAGAGCTTCAGTCCACCAAAGACAGTGAAGGTGCAGGAGCTTCACTTTGAGATCTTGGCATGTGCGCTTCGCTTCCCCGGGGCTGTGGACACACCTGGCGCTTTCTGGAGCATGCTGCTGAAGGATGATCAGGATGCCGCCTTTGCCGCAGCCCCCAAGGAGGGACCCAAGGCAGCCTTCCTTCAGTACAAGTTTGATCATCGCACCGCCCTGACGGCGGCAGGGGCTGCTGGAGTCGAAGGTGCCGAGGCTGCTGCCATGGATCCGCAGCACTCCTTCGCGTTGCATTTGGCGGCGGAGATGTGGCATGACTCCGCCGAGGCTGCGGAAGCTGCCAAGGCTGAGCCGGAGCGCGTGGGAGTCTACCTCGGTGCCTGGCAGCCCGTCGTGTCTGACACCCGGGCGTCTGCCTATGCGGCGATCGGCTCGTCCCTCAGTGCCCTGGCCGCCCGTGTGGCCAATGCTTACAATCTGCAGGGTCCGGCAGTGACTGTCAACACCGCTTGCTCCTCGACTCTGGTGGCGGTCCACCAAGCCATGCAGGAAGCTCGTACAGGGCAGCTGGCTTTTGCAGTTGCGGGTGGCGTCAACTTGTTCGGGGAAGACATGCAGCTTTTCAAGAACCTCCGACGAGCTGGGATGCTGAGTGCTTCTGGCCGGTGTCACACGTTCTCTGCGTTGGCCGATGGCTACGTCCGCGGGGAGGGCGGCGCGCTCTTCCTGCTGGGCTCCGCGGGCTCTGGCCATGGTCCCACGGCCTCTCGTGCTCAGCTCTTGGGCTCTGCAGTGAACCAGAACTCGACGCAGAAGCCTTTGTCCTCCGTGGACCCGCTGGCGCAAGAGCGCGTCATCCGCATGGCATGCGCAAGTGCCTCTATCACCACTGCTGGCCTCACGGCCGTGGAGCTGCATGGCACGGGCACGCCTCTAGGCGACCCCGTGGAGGTCTCTGCACTCGCTCGGCTGGGCTGTGCTGCTACGATGACGGCCTCAAAGATGCACCTGGGCCATTTGGAGTCGGCCGCGGGCGCTGTTGGCCTCCTCAAAGCTGTACTGCTCTGCGAGAACTGCTGCGTTCCCAGCTTCAAAATCCACGGAGGCCTGAACCCCCAAGTCCGCGCCGCGATGGAGGGATCCTGCCTCAAGAATCCAGGAGATGAGGTCGAGCTTCCAGCTGGTGCCTTCCTGGGCGTGTCTAGCTTCGGCTTTGCCGGCAGCAACGCCCATGTCGTTTTGGCCCCAACTCCAACAGCCAGGGCATGTCCCAAGTACGAGGCGGACGCCTGGGAGCCTCCAGTTCCTCTTCGGCAGTATGAGCAGTCCATCGTGGAGACATTGTCCACCACCTCTCCTCGATCATTGCCTTCACAGGACCAAGCCCCCTTCTCGAGTGTCGTTAGCAATGGCAACCGGCTTTTCTCTGTGGCTGAGAACGAGGAGGCGCCCTACGCGGAAGACGTGGATGTGAGCTCGCTGAGCTTCGTGGGCAGTGCTGTGCTGTCGATTGTGGGCGGCGACGCAGAAGTGGACGTTGATGCCGATTTGCATGACCTTGGCATCGACTCCTTGGGACTGGCGGAGCTTCTGGGCCTCCTTGAGGACCGCTTTGGCCAATCCTGCATCAGCATTGACAAGATCATAGAAGAACCCACGTGCAGGGCGATCGTCAAGAGCTTGGAGGACGGCAGCTCCAAGGCGAAGGTGGAGATCTTGGCGGCGCCACTTCCGCGAAAGCGTGAGGAGCCAGTGGTAATTGCCACCGCTTCTACGCCTTCTGTCGCTGCACCTCCTCCTGCTAGCAGCTCTGCGGCAATTTCAGTGCCTATCCAAGATGCAAAGCAGTTGGTGGCTTCACAAGATGCGAGCAACTGCTGGATCCGAACGACCCACGTGGGCTCACTACCTAGGCCCAATGATGGAAATTTGGATGTGGAGCAGGTCATTTCCCAGCAGAAAGCTGTCTCTGTGGACATCATCAACGACGGCGAGTGGGTGCGTGACAACTACATTGCCGATGTCATCGCCCGCATCAAGGGGTTGAGTGGCGATGCCCAAGGGACAAGGGAAGTCAACACCAGCTGCTGCTCCAAGCATGCGATGCCCATTGCATCTGACATGAAGGACGTGCCCCTCTATGCCCAGCGATTCACAGGTGGAAACGGCCTCATCACCCTGAACCCCAAGCGTGAGGCCACCAGCAGCCTAGCCTGCATCGGGCATCCAAGCTACCAGCCGGGTGAGATCCCATTCCTGAAGCCTTTCCTGCAGGCTGCTTCCAGGAGCGGCAAGCCGCTCCATGAGTGCTTCTTCTCCGTGCCCTCGCCTGGGACTTTGGCTCTCTTCTGCAAAGACTGCTTCTTCCAGCGCCACGATGCCTACGTGGGAGCGCTGGCTGAGGCCCTGGCCAAGGAGTATGCCGAGATCGCGCGGCACGGCCTCCTGCTCCAGGTGGATTGCCCTGACCTGGCAATGGGTCGCCACACCAGGTGGTCCGAGCTGACTGATGCGGAGTTTTTGCAAGTTGCGCACTTGAACGTTGAGGCCCTGAACCGAGCATTGGAGGACGTACCCACTGAGCAGATTCGCATCCATGTCTGTTGGGGCAACTACGCCGGGCCTCACCACAAGGACATGCCGGCCGAGCTGCTGTGGCCTCTCATTGGCGCGATAAAGGCCAAGTACATTCTGGTGGAAGGCGCCAACCCGCGGCATCGGAGTGATGTTGCCGCATTCGAGGATGCAGTTCAGAAAGGTTACTTCAAGCCGAACCAGGTCATCGCCCCTGGGGTGGTGGACACTACCACTGCTCGAGTGGAGGATCCGAAGCTTATCGCCGAGACTTTGCTCCGCTACGTGCGTGCAGTGGGCCACCCCAGCCGCGTGCTGGCCAGCACTGATTGCGGCTTTGCCTCCACTGCCAAATCCACGGCTGTTTCTGCGGACATCGCGTGGATGAAGCTCCAGAGCCTGGCAGACGGTGCAGCCTTGGCCACCCGCTGCTTCATCGACCAGCGTGCTCCGGTGCCCTGCCGCTCGCCGAACTTGACGCCGACGCCCTTCCGCCCTGTGATCTTCGCTGAGGGCTTCAGCAGCTATGCCAGGGAGCTGCAGGTGGCCTTCTCCGGGTTCACCGTGCACCCGGCCAACATCTTCGTTGAGGACGCCTTCGACAGACTCCGCTGGGTGGTCGATGTGCCGATGGCCTTTGTGGCACTTGGGTCGCAAGGCTTAGAGGTGGCGCAGGCCACCCTGGACCGCCTCAGGGCTGACGATGCGGTGTCCCGGCGCCCTTCTACGCTGGTGGTAGCTGGTGAGGGAGAGGTGCCTTTGGCACTGGCGGCGAGGGTTGGCCAACAGGCCTTGCAGCAGTCGGGCTTCGACAAGCGGTCTTTGGTTCTGCCCCGCGTTGCAGCGCCGCCGGCCTCTGCGGATGTTGTGATCGTGGGCGCCGGGCTTTTGGGGATGCTCGCGGCACACCGCTGCCGCGCCGCCGGCTTTAACGTGGCAGTTCTGGAACAGCGTACCCTTGTGGGCGGCATCTGGTCCATGTATGCCAACTCGACCTCTCAGGTGAACAGCTCTGAGGGTGGCTACTGCATCAAAGAACTTCTGGGAGAGGAGGATGGTAAGGCTCCCTGGGACAACCGTGATCACAGCACCGCAGCGGAGGTCCTGAAGGACTTCGCCAAGCTCGGGGATCGCCTGAAAGAGCACATCTTCACTTCTGTGCGAGTCGTCAAGGTCTTGGGTGAGAACGGAAGGTACACGGTGCTCTTTGAGGACGGATTCTCCCAAAGCGCCGGAGTTCTTCAATGCCGCGGAGTGGTTTTGTGCCTCAACGACCGTGTGGGCTTGCCACGTCCCTTGTCTGTGCCCCGGGGAGACTTTCTGGGCGTCGTGGCTGATGGGACATCTGATTCCCTGGCAGGCATGGACTGGCGCGGCAAGCGTGTGGTTATTGCTGGGATGGGGGCCTTTGCTGTGGAGAATGTGCGCACGGCTCTGGAGCAGGGCGCGCTGGAGGTCGTTGTCGTGGGGCGGCGGCATGGCACNNCTGAACTTCGTGAAGCCCTGGGATGACAAGTACAAGCATGACACACAAACGAATGTTAAGCAGTTCCTCCGATGGAAGCAGCTCTACGAGCGCTCCAGCTGCACCGTGCCGGAGTGCTGGCCCAA